TTCACTTTATGGTGGTGAATATGCATGAATCAATTACTTTTGACTTGGCCTTAGGAAAGGTCCGAAATACCTCGTATATTAAACCTTTAATTCATTTTCTATCCTGCTCATCAATGTTCAATCTAAACTGAGCCCCTGCGCAACTGCACACTGTTCTCACCCTCTCAAATGTATACAGCACATTGAAAAAAAGGTCAAACCTGAGTTGCATTGGCATTTTGCAGTTTTAGATTTACCTCAGACCAAGAAATAGAAAAGTTTATTTGGCACATGTGAATAACAGAGCAAGAAGAAAAAGACACCAATAAAATACAGAAAATGGTGAAAGTGTGGGAGCATTTCAGGCTGAAATGTGCACCATGCCGTGTAATCATTGTCATACGGATCATGCTCTCCATCAAATATGCCCACTAGGTAAATTTTACCTATAGTCTTGGGTCCTGACCTCCCAACACTGGCTGTAGATTGTTTATTATCATGGTGAAAAGTGCAGTGTAAACTAACCGTTGTGGCTAGAACGCTGATTGCTCCTCCATCCATCCATAATCAGAACCGTTTTATCTTCACAAGGGTCGCAGTGGGTGCCGGAGCCTATCCCAGCTGTCTTCGGGCAGTAGACGGGGGACACCCTGAACTGGTTGCCAGCCAATCGCAGGGCATACATAGACGAACAACCATCCACGGTCACACTCACAATTTAGAGTGCTCCATTAACCTCCCATGCATGTGGGAGGAAACCGGAGTACCCGCAGAAAACCCAGGCAAGCGCGGGAGAACATGCAAACTCCACAAAGGAAGGCCGGAGCCGAAATCGAACCCTGCACCTCTGCACTGTGAGGCCGGCGTGCTAACCAGTCGAGCACCGTGCCACGCTTATTGCTCCTGATGATTAAAAAAAAATAAATGAAAGATACATTAAAATCACAGATAAAATGGCTCCAACATGTTGAAAACTAACACAAATAGTTGCTTAGTTGTTGTGTTTGACAACCCATCAGTGGGAGACTCTGGGCTGCGTTCATGCGGTTCACTCGTCATCTCACTAATAATCATAATTGACCAGGGAAAGTGCCCCGGTACTGACTAAGAATATCTCTGCACAATTGAAGCACATTATCATGACTACGGATGCATTGTCGATGGTCAATGTGTTGTCACATAAGTTATTGCACTTCCAAGCTCGCGTCATCACCAATGCGCGAGCCATGAATGTGCACACTTTGGCTCAGGCCGGGGCCGTAGCGAATTGAATGCCCAAAGCGAATATAGTTCGAGCCTCCCTGCCCTACTGTGCTTTTGCTCATTTTTGACCAAATGTAAGTTATGTCATATCTCCCTCTTTGTCCTGCTTTTAAAATCCCACTATGTACCACCAAATATGAATGTTTAGCATCATCTGAACAGTATAAATTCCAGAAAATTTACTATCATAGGCCAAGTCTTTCAAATCCTTCTTGAGAATTATTATCTGACAAGTGAAGCATCACAACACTTGTAAAGAAATGAGTAATAACATTATGCAACATTTAATATAGTTCATCGTTTCGACCATTTTTTTCTCAAATAGTGTTGATGAAAAGCATCACTTTTCACTTCATATATTTTGTAATATAGAAAATATTGAAGCCATATTTTTTAAAATATGTTCACTCTGCGATTGGCTGGTAATTGCACCCACACACTGCAACTCAAGCTGATACTTGAACTTTGTTTTGTTGTTCTGATCGTGTTTTTATTTTTATATTTCTTCTCCAGTGTTATTTTTTATATTTAAGATAAGATCATCCTTTAAAGAGCCTATAAAGTGAATTCAGATATTTGTTTCTAGATACATCACAGGCTGTAAATGTGCAAAGACTGAAAACTATGTCATACTGATTTGTGGAAGTATTGGGTTAAACTTTTTTCGCCACTTCATATTTCTCGATTTTTTTTTTTTCTTTTTGTTGTCGGTGGCTAAGACCGTGTGACAGTCTTCACAGTTGGAATGATTTGCCCCTTGCTCACTATATAAGAATTTGAGCACCTCCAGATGGCAAAGGCTGTACTATACCTGAAATTGCTTTTCACTTCGGATCGTCCGCTGTTGTGACCGCAAAAGAAAGGCTCATTATCTGCTGTGAGTATGCACACTTCATGCAGAGAAAGGCACAATAACAAGAAGTTATATTTATTTAATCAAACCAACTACTAATTGGGAATAAATTGTAAAGAGGGCCTGTTGTTGTGTTTGGATGATGAATCAGTCCTGTCTTTGTGATGAGCAGATCACTGTGGCAATAAAACAGACAGAGCAAATGAGGAACAGATAATACCCTCAGGGTAAAGACGGAGACGTTTTGAAGGGTGCCATCATGCTTGTTTTTACAAGTTGCATTGAAGTAGGGCATGGGTGGGGCAATGTTTTCATCCTACTTCTGACAATCACATTGAAAACAGAACAGAATAAGAAAAGGACAGCTGGTAGATTGCCATCCTATTATTTCATCAGCTGGGACTTTCTATTGCTTTAACCAATCAGGGTCATTTATTTCAAGGCATATTGTGTACACTTGAACATTTTTATGACAAGAAGCATATTCTAAAGTAAACATTTGCCTTTCATAATAGGATAATACAGTCAACCCTTGTTTATCTTTTTTTTTGTTCACACACATTCCTGTAGGTCTGTGGAAGTTTGTGTGAGTACTTTTTTCACCTCTCTGCCAAAGAAGGTGATGTATCAAGTTATGGACTCAATGGCATCATGCTTTGCTTGTGAAGCAATTATGACATTATCTTTTCCATTCTAAGTGGGACATTCATTCTCTTTTGAGTTTGTTAGTGTGTTGACAGATTAATTTGCGGTGATAAGACTCATTTTCAGGTATGTGCTGTCATGTTCTGACTGTCTTGCTTGTGTTTCAGCTCCAGCTGGATGGAAGCGCTTTTTGTTCCTGCATTGTTTTCTCTGGCTCCCCGTGACCAGCCATTTCTGTTCGTGCTTTGTCGGTGCAGTTTTCTGTTAATGTTTTTGTTGTCGCATTTCTAAGATCTAAAAACATTATTTGATTCGGTTCTGAACACATTGGCCCAATGTTTTGCTGTTGTTGATTACGACAACGGACAAGCTGCTCTGTTCATTTGGTCTTTATGTTGATCCATTACTTTAATTAATGATTTGTTGACAGACACCGAGCACGCAATATTGCTCCAGTGACTCATCTCATACATGCAACAACAAAAGGGCGTGAACATACTGGAGTATGTTTGCAGCGTGAGCAAACATATTGTGGTTTTTATGTGAGTACGGTAGACAACCATGCAATGTCAATATACATGCACAACCATACAAACCATATTACTGTGGACATTTTGAAAGCTTTTCAGCCAATAGTCAGATGAGGGATCTGTGGATACACTCTTCTCTCTCACACCAGTGTTTAGAATTTGTGATTGGGTATTGTAAATATTATGGCCGAATTCACTTCGTTGCATGACTGGCTTGTATTTTTCACTCTCTCATCAGTTTTGTTTTTTTTCTTTCAATAAACCAATGATATCAACTGTTTGCATAATTTTTCACACGGCAATCTCCATGCTTATAAAATATTCATTTAGTTCTAAATCTTCAAATGAGAAACAAAAGTTGAGCTTCTAAAAAGCCAAGGTCAAAAGACATCTTGCAGTATCTCAAAGCCATGTTGTTCCTGTGTAACAGAACTTGTGTTCCATGTATTGAGTATTCCTAATTCCGAAGATACCTCAGGTTCTCGTTTAGGGGCCACGTTCATTGGAGCCACCATAGGTGGTAGAAAAATCAGGTATGAGACATTCATATGAGGTGGTATTTCTGTCAATATCAAGCCACTATAAAGAACCTAAAAATCAAAGAGAAATTATGTTCAACTTCCATCCATCAATCCATGTTCCGATCCGCTTTATCCTCACAAGGGTCGCGGGGGGTGCTGGAGCCTATCCCAGCTGTCTTCAGGCAGTAGACAGGAGACACCCTGAACTGGTTGCCAGCCAATCGCAGGGCACCCAGAGACGAACAACCATCCGCGCTCACACTCACCTATGGACAATTTAGAGTGTTCGTGAACTTGCCATGCATGTTTTTTGGAATGTGGGAGGAAACCGGAGTGGTCCAGAGAAAACACACGCAGGCATGGGGAGAACATGTAAACTTCACACATGGACGCTGGATGTTCAACGTAAGTGATGAAATGAAATGAAATTGGGGGCGGCACGGTAGTCGACTGCTTAGAACGCCAGCCTCACAGTGCAGGGGTGCAGGGTTCGATTCTGGCTCCGGCCTTCCTGTGCGCATGTTCTCCCCATGTCTGCGTGGAGTTTCTCGGTTTCCTCCCACATTCCAAAAATATGCGTTGCAGGTCAATGTCTGCTGCCCGAAGACAGCTAGGATAGGCTCTAGCACGCCCGCGAGCCGTGTGAAAAAAAGCAGATTAGAAAATGGATAGATGGATGAAATGAAAGGGTAGTTCCGCTTCTGCCACCAATGTAAAATCACAAGTCAACTTTGGGTCGAACTCAAAGCCTCTAAACAAGCAAATAAGCACAACCACATGCACAAAAAAAAAAAAAAAAAACAATTTCGACAAATAATAAGGTGGAAAAACGTTTTTGCAATCAGGATAACCAATGATTATTGCAAATCTTGATTGTAAACTCAGTCTTGAGATGCCAGGAATCAATGATACGAACATGTTTGCCAAATTTTTCATCAAGAAAATCTACGATTTAAACATCCACCCTGCATCATCACCACGTTAATAAGGTTTGTGATAAACCGTTTTGTAAATCCGTCAAGAATTCTTTTTTTTGTATGTCCGACTATACGCGCACCAGAAGAGACCTCTCTCCTAAGATGGCCGACCATTGACGATGCTACCGACTCTGCCTCGAGCCATCTAGCCTTCTCATCTATATCTATGATTACAAACGCCTGGACGAGATTGAGAGAGCACGATGGCGAGGCGATCCAATAGCGACATCTAGTGACGAAAGATGGGCTGTGGCGCCTCTTTGCCACTCTGACACACCATCTCCTCCCCATCGCCGCAAAACACAGCGCAGGCCGGCCAACTATTCGTCTCTGAACAAGGATAACAAGGACTATCACAATGTCTGATATGGAGGACGATTTCATGTGTGACGATGAAGAGGACTACGACCTGGTATTTCCATCTAAAATGACCCAACCCCTGCCTTTTATCTTTGACAGAACTGGAAATCAGCGATAGTGCGGGCTAGCTAGCGTTAGCCTCGTAGTTAGCTTGTTGGGCTAATATCGTGTCCTAGTTGGCCACACACACTTAGTGCTAGAGAGTTGACTAACCCCGCAGGGTAGTTTAGTCAAGCTTGCATGCATTCTCTAGACCCTCTGATTGAAATGTCTGAATTACAGCGGTGAATTAGCAAATACGTGGGCTAACTTTAGCAGACGCTTGTAGTAGCAGAATTAGAATACCACAAGAAGAGATCATGTTATGCTTTGCTTCCCTGAACTTGTGTTACGATAACCCTATGCTAGCAATTGTAACTGTTGGAGTTTTTCACAGTGCACATGTGCTAACATCCAGGAATACTCAGAAGACAGCAATTCAGAGCCAAATGTTGACCTGGAGAACCAGTACTACAACTCCAAAGCATTGAAGGAGGATGATCCCAAAGCAGCACTGAGCAGTTTCCAGAAGGTGGAGTGCTCCTCAACTCAATGTTGTCTGCTATTTTCACACGCATAATTTTATTCATACTATTTACTGTCATGTTTTCATCATCAGGTGTTGGAATTAGAAGGCGAGAAAGGCGAATGGGGATTCAAGGCGCTGAAACAAATGATTAAAATAAACTTTAAGCTGGTAAATAACATCGCACTGACCCATAACATACAGTTGATATTGCTGTGGCCGCTCTGAATAATTGTTGTGATTTGTCTTACTGCAGACTAATTTCCCAGAGATGATGAATAGATACAAACAGTTACTGACGTACATAAGAAGTGCAGTCACAAGGAACTACTCAGAAAAGTCCATCAACTCCATTCTGGACTACATCTCAACCTCCAAACAGGTGCAATTCATGACTACGGAAACAAGCTTATCCGACAATTAAATATGCTGTCTTGAGATATAAGTGACCCAACTGGAAATGATGTGAGCTGTAATTCGGATAGTTTTTGTTTCGTTTTCATTTTGCTTTGACCTATGAACATAATTTGAAATATGACCTTGTCGACTGCAATATGGTGGCAGAGCACTTGCTTCACTACAAGCAGCAGTTTGTCAGCTAGCTAGTAGTCTGTCCACAACACTTGAATCCAACTGTCACCTTGTCGTACAAAGATACATACAACACACATAGGCAGGCCATCACTGAATGCAAACTATGCATACAAACTATGTTCTCATTTATGTGCCAATAAACACTAATCACGGTGTTATTAGCACATTCAATTGTATTTTTGAATTTTGATCAAATATAATGTGAATATTTTTGGAGAGAATGGTGATTTATTTTAGAATTATACACTAATAAGGGTAAAATGTTATGTCTTCATATCTCTTTTAAATTTTCATATCATACTTGTGTTATACTGCCCCTGTTGACCAGTGTGTGCACACCAATAGGAGAAGCACCAGTCCCATTAAATTAAAGCCTCAAAAACGGCTTAATTCTTTCCATTCTATTTAATTCTATCTATTCCTATATGGTTTTCTTAAGCACAATATTGTAGAGTCGTATTTATCTTGTTGAAAATACCCATGTACAATTTGTTTGTTGTGTTTTTCAGAGACTGTCACAGATAATGACATTTCCAGTCATTTCAATGGGGATAGAAGTTTTGAGTTACAAATGAGGGAAGGGGGGGGGTTCATGGAGGCAATCAAAATTTCAAGGCAACACTGTTGATGTTTCTCTGTTATAATCTAAAGTGTGTTTCCTGTGTTACCAGATGGATTTACTACAAGAGTTTTATGAAACTACTCTGGAAGCTTTAAAAGATGCAAAAAATGACAGACTCTGGTTTAAAACCAACACAAAGGTACCTAAAGGTTATTCTGCATCTCAAAATTATAATACTTTACATTAGTACTACAATAAGTGAACTTTAATGTGTTGTTTTGTCACTGTAGCTGGGGAAGTTGTACCTGGAGAGAGAAGAATATGGAAAGCTGCAGAAGATCCTGAGGCAATTACACCAGTCTTGCCAGGTAACCCAACATTCACCATCCAAGAGCTATTTATGACATGGTTGCAAGCCTTAGTCACTGAAGAGAAATTCATTTTGGCATGTAGAATTGCATCAGCTTCCAACTATCTTCCAAAACATGTTATCATATTTTTTGACCGGCAGATAATAATAAATAAACTTAATCCATGTCTACAACAACCCGGGGTAATATAAAAATATATATCCTATTTCCTCCAAGAGTCCATCCATTCTCTGAACCGCTTATCCATGTCCAGCATAACATTAACACAGCATTTACAAACTGTGCTTTTGTAATGATGAAGTTAAAATGTTATGCACCTAAAAGTTCAATAAAACTTGCACCAATATCAATGTTTGAAAAGAAAGTTTTAAAAATATTACATGCAAATGTTTTTTTTCTACCGAACAGTTAAATGCAGCTGAACTGTACTCAACAAATGCACTATACTGGAGTAAAAAAAAAAAAGGTTTAAGTTATTGTAATATGCTATGCAGGATGAATATTGAGTAATTTATTTGATTGAAACTAGAAGGAGAGCCCCACAGTGCTAATTTGGAGAGTCACTTGGTTAGTTTAGTGATTGTAGTTGGTAGTGAGGGGAGTGCAGTGACTAGTTGCATTGTATTGTATTGTATTGTTTATTGAACACATATAGAACATACAATAACAGATTGACAAAATGCAAACAAAAGCCATAAAAGGAAAAAATGAAAATAAGTAAAACAAACATCATCACAGTTATATGCTCAAAGGAGTAGGAAGAAGTATACAACTTATCTAGTCCTACCCCTTGTTGTGTAATAATGTGTATTGATAATTTTTCAATACCAAAGAAAAGGAAGAAATCTACAGATCATCAAATACTTTTACCCTTATGTGTACAAAGTTGTGGCCCACAATGCCTTTTGAAAGGAATTCAAGAGGTTTTAAAAGATGATAACGTGACCATATAGCAACACATGTTGCTTTGTCCTCCGTTTGATTGGACTAAGATTTTTCTTGTTCTGAGTATTTGTTGAGTTAGTGTGGATGCAGCCTTACTTGTCTTCTTCTTTTCTCGCTCGCCACAGACAGACGATGGCGAGGATGACCTCAAGAAAGGCACGCAGTTGTTGGAGATCTACGCTCTGGAAATTCAGATGTACACAGCCCAAAAAAACAACAAGAAATTGAAAGCCCTGTACGAGCAATCGCTCCACATAAAATCTGCCATTCCTCATCCACTTATAATGGGCGTTATCCGAGGTAAGCAGTCGTCGTATTCAGCAGCATCTGCATCGCATGTAAAGAAGGCTTCTTTCTGATGAATGATGAGTGCTTGATTGGTCCTGTGAACAGAATGCGGCGGCAAAATGCATCTGAGAGAGGGGGAGTTTGAAAAAGCTCACACAGATTTCTTTGAGGCCTTTAAAAACTATGACGAGTCAGGAAGCCCGAGAAGGACGACGTGTTTGAAGTATCTAGTGCTCGCCAACATGCTAATGAAATCGGGAATCAACCCTTTTGACTCGCAAGAGGTGTGACGTTTCACTTACTCAACCTTTTATCATTTTTCTTGGTGTTTGTTTTTCCTTTGTCTTGAAAGCAGAATTGTACATCCTGTTGTTAAAATGCTAATGTTTCCTTTTGTTTACTTCTCAAAAGGCCAAACCATACAAAAATGATCCAGAGATATTAGCAATGACAAATTTAGTAAGGTAAGAATGTTTTGTATTTGGAGTCAGTCCATGCTCTTCATCTCTTAAACACACATGCAGTATGTTCACATATTTCTTGAAACATCACGCATATTTGCAGTTTGGAATTTGCTGAAAAAGTAATCTGGTGATATCTTGGTGACAAGTATCAAGTACTGTGGTGCCTTGATTTATGAATCAAATTCATTCTGTGACCACGTTGGTTTTAACTTAAATATCTCAAATCGCATTCCCCATATAAATGAAGGGCAATGGCAATCCCCACATTGTGCGCATTCTGATGTGTGTGGCTTGGTCACCAGGGGGCAGTATAATATAGACATGCAGACACCAATGAAGAAGAGTTTCACAACTAAGTGACTCAGTAAACTGCAACACTACCCAACGCTATCTTTTTTTTTCATATCGCTGTCCTGTGAGAAAAACATCAATTTTTGTCATGAATTTTTTTTTTACAATTTTTTTTTCGGCATTTCAGACATCCCGTTAATGTATACATTTTTCAAAAATATATAAATGGACATTTTTTTCCCAGGACAGCAAGGACATAATAAAAAGTACATGCCTGTAGGGCCGAACAATTAATTAAATTAAAATCCACATCCAAATGCAGTAGAGTGCAATTTTCAAATTGCAAATGCTGTCATTTGGGGGGGAAAGGGACTGCTTGATATTAGTAGACTTATGAATATTTTATTTATGTGTTTATTTACATAGTGTCTAGATATGTTCAGCGCTGAAGTGCCGTCCACATGTTTACATATCATTGTTGAAACATAAAAAGTTATATATATATAGATAAAGCCACATATTTGTTAGCATTTTTCTTGTCATCTGATTTATGGTTCAGTGACTTATGTTCATGCCACACTTCTTTGGTCGAATTTTGTGAAGCTATTGTAGTGAATGCCTAAAAGACTGCAAGTCAAAGTGTTTATAAGTTTACAACTCTAAAGTAGATAAATGTCTTTAATATTTTAGTATAATAAATCCGATATTGTTTACTGTAATGCAGATTAATTTATTGCTTGTATATGTTAAAAACATGGGAAGAGGATTTTGAAGAAAAAAAAACAATTGCATACTAAATTGCAATATTGAAGGGAGTGGGGGGAAGCCAAATTATTTTTCATAGTCAACATTTGTTGCTTCGCTGTATGTTTAAATATCTGATGTTTCAAGTTTCGTAAGCTGATCTATGGCATTTTGGATTGTGTGTGAGCATTAACCGAAACATATATTCCTAAATCAAGTTGGGAATAGCAATAAAAAGATTGAAGAAGTTTTGAAATGAGTTCAGTTGAGTTTGCTTCCAGCATCTAGCATTTTTACATTATATCGAACTTTTGCTCCCATGTCAAAGCAGCAAATCGGCAAAACTATTACCGGTAATTTGGGTCACTCATGAATCAAGGCACCAACTCTAATGTTGAAGTGAATTTGGAAGTTTCCATTTAGACATAAATAGTGCTTTGCTGTCATCTTGTGGCAACAAAAGATAAATACAAACCTACTATACTATACATAAATTATACTCTACATATTGTATGTATGTTATATTCATGCACCTGTTGCATGAACAAAAAGTAAGAGAAAATGCTATTGAAAGTGTGAAATGAATAGTGTTAGTATGTTTTTCTGTTTTGGATCAAGATTGACAGCTATCAAGATGTATTTTGTGTGTGTTTTAACATTGATTCTTTGTCCCTCCAGCGCCTATCAGAACAATGACATCACTGAATTTGAGAAAATCTTGAAAACAAATCACAGTAACATAATGGACGACCCCTTTATCAGAGAGCACATAGAGGGTGAGTGGCGACTGTGACTGGTGGTGGTTGCCGTACACATGTACTAAGAATATCTTGAATGCAGTCATGTCTTTTTTTCACTTTTTTTTGCAGAGCTGCTGCGCAATATTAGAACTCAAGTACTTATCAAACTCATCAAACCATATACAAGAATACACATCCCTTTCATTTCGAAGGTAAGACCATTGGATCACAACATTTTGTGTTTTACCCATCCCTATACAGTCAAACCTCAGTTTTCGAACGTCTCTGTTCTTGACCAAATCGGTTTTCGACCAGAGAATTCGGAATTTTTACGCCTCAGATAACGACCGAAAACCGGTTTTCGACCAAACTGACCAAACCCGAATACGCCACTTGACTCCTCTCGGCTTCCTTCCACGAGTAAGTGACGCTTCCTCGTATAGCGTTCATTGTGAGCAGACGTGTTTGTTGTGATTTACGCAAATCTGACTATTTTTATGTTATTTCTGCATAGTGTGTTAGCCCGTAATCATGGGCTAATAGAATAGTTTCGGATTTCAAACAAATCGCTTTTCGAACAGCCTTCTGGAATGGATAATGGTCGAAAACCGAGTTATGACTGTGTATGTATTTATGTTTCTACATCAAAACATTCTCCAATGTAATAATAGAAATAGCAGCACGGTGGTCTAGTGCAAGTGTCCCCATGGCGCCACGGAGTTTGCCATATGGCCAAAAGCAGTTTTAGGAATCCCATGTTTTCTTTTTTCTTTTTTTTTTGTCTTTTAGCCATATGACATTCCTTAAGTGATACCAACCATTAAAATGAAAAAAAAAATGGAAGAAAACAATGTGGTCTAATACCAGTCACCAGTTGGTGTGTTTTCCTGACAGTGACTGTTCCTCTTGACGGTTTATATCCAATCTGTACGTTGATGCTGTACTTGCATTGGTGTCCACTTACGGAAGACGCCTCATTCCGATTGAAGCTATTCCATTCCATGTGTCTTTTTGTATTCCTGCCGTCATTACGGTTTGCTGCCATGATGGCAAACGCACATCTGTGATAATGTGGGCTATAGTGGAGCCGCTTGCTGTCAGTACAATGGGGGGAAAAAACTGTCATAGCTGTAAATTCAAACCAAATTTAATTTCCATCTACTTGGTAACCTGCAGATTGACAACTGCCTCTTTGCTTTGTTTTTCAGGAGCTGAATATCGATGTTTGTGATGTGGAGAGTCTGCTGGTGCAGTGTATTTTGGATAAGTATGCGTCATCTATTTTTGCTTGCTGCACCATATAAATATGTAATTGCATCATCTAGAGCTGGGCAATAATTCAAAATAAAAATCACGATTGACACCTGAATCCTCTGGCATTCTGCGTGCTGTAGGCAGAGGCTACAGTATGATGTTAGATTTGTGCCACAATTAGAAGCACCTACGACGGTTGGTCAACTGTAAAGCATGCACTCAAAGAGAGTATTAGTTCCATGGCAACATTGTATGAACAACGAATGAAGCTTAATGTAATGGTATCAACTGTGGGGTATTGCGTCTTCTGTAAAGGATATTTATGGTGGCACTGCTGGAGACATGTCCACTTTTAAAAGCACCAGCTTGAACTATCGATTATATCCATCCATCCATTTTCCGATCCGCTTATCCTCATAAGGGTCGCAGGGGGTGCTGGAGCCTATCCCAGCCGTCTTTGGGCAGTAGGCGGGGGACACCCCGAACTGGTTGCCAGCCAGCTATTACAAAATCCCATGTTAACACACATTTAAAGAATGAATGTATTTTTCCTCCAGGGGCCGTACCAGTTGTTTGAAACAAGCAAAGAGTGGAAGCATGTAACATGCCACACCTATGCCTCAAAAATGCTTAATGTGCTAAAAAACAATTTTACATTGAATTCCTATTGGTCTCCATGTATAGCGGATATCAGAAGACTATACACTCTAGACCAGGGGTGTCAAACTCATTTCACATGGTGGGCCAAATACGGCCTCGGTAGATGTCAAGTGGGCCGGACCATTAAAATGATACCATACTTTGCTATAAATAACAAAAACAATCTGTCTTCCCTTTGTTTTGATACAAAATAAGCACAAGAACATGAGGAAAATGTTGAAATTTAATGAACATATCTTTTACAAAACATTTCAGGAAGCACCTTACATTTCCTTCGACAAATGTGCAATTTACTTTTATCATTCACAAATATGCATTGCAACTGATCCCACTGATTGTACAAACTTTAACAAGTAATTGGTATTGAAAAATATAGTAATGCACTTTAAGATTAAACGAGATTTATAAAGAAAGGAAGTTTTAAACCATTT